GCTCTCCTAAGCTTGCTTTCCTCATCTGTTGAATGGGCATGCACTCACCCACCCTACAGAGCTGCTTCCAAGACAGACTGCCTGACCCCTCTGAAGTCTCTAAAGTGGGTCTCAAAACATGGCAAGTACAGTGTAAGTGTGTTAGTTGTCACCACTATTGTGTGTTTCATTGTTACTTTGTTCTTCATCCAATTTATAAGTGAAGTAAACCAAGTTAGAAAGGGTGAAATGACTCACTTAAAGCCACTTGGCAGATAGGTAGCAGAACAGAGGCTAGAACACTGTTACTGATCCATCCCTAGCTCCTTGTGGCTGCAAGGACTCTTTTAGCCAAAGACCAAAGCAAGTCATCCAGAAGCCAGGACTGAGCTGATGTAAGCTGATAGAACATTATATGATTTGGTATCAAGAGTTCTCCTTGGAACATCAAAATTTCAATGACTATACACTAAATCACATGCTTATTTTGTGCTTCTAGCTTATATAAATATTTCTATCTACACACAGACACAATACATATATATATGTATGTAATTAAAAAAATGTATAAATGAGCAGGGACACACATATGTAGAGTATGTGTACATTGTACATGTATACAATACACTAAGTATTATGAATAAACTAGGAAATGTGAACTGATATAACACTGTTGATAAAAAGAGAAAAAATTATATTTTCTGAGGAATTCATACCCAGTCAACTGGGCAAAAGGAATACTTTTTCTTCTTTTTAAAAAAATTATATTAGGATAGATTGTACAAAAGGGTTTAATTATGATATTTGCAACTTGCATATAATGTACTTTGATCAAATTCACCCCATCTGTGTTACTCTTTCTTAGCTACCCTGCTTCCTCCTCCTTGTTAACAGTTTTTTGTTGATTTCATCTACTTCTATAATATACACTTCCTGTCACCGCTTTTTTCCCCTTTTCCTGCCTACTGGTCCCCTTTCCCACATAGCCCCCAAAAGGAATATTTTTGAAAACAGGTTTCATATTGGCTCTATCCAACTATGAAAATCCGTGGGCCTTTGGAAAAGCTGGGGTCAGTACATCCATAAAATGTAGGACTGGTGTCTCTGTCAGGAATCTGTCTCTTGGTCACAGTCTCCCTCATTCAGTCATGGTCCAACAGAACATTGGCTTAACTTTATGTGAGCTAGTCACACAAAGAGTCATGTGTACATGATGTTACCAGAAATTTAGTACAAGTGTATACCTGGCTTCTCGTGTCCAGCAAGAGAGTTTAGGTCAGACGTGACAATGATAGTAAAGTTAATTAAGAAAGGAGTACACTTTCAATAGACTGAAAGCAGGTTGTCTCTAGACTGAGAAGACAGGTATCAGCTTTTGGAGCTTATTGGAGAATTCTGAGCTCCAGATCTCTTTGTCCCTAGGATGAACTCCTGGGCCTGGGCCTTTGTATTGGTAAGGTAAAGAGTTAGCTGTATGAAACTCCCAGCTCCAGGTCTAGCTGATGTTTAGGGTGTGGTTTCCTCTTGAGTAAAGAAAGGATTAAGCTTGAGTTGCGTGGCTGACATCAAAGCATCCTGTGATAACCCCTGAATGGACTACTGTTATCTTAACAGATACAGGTCACCTGTGGCATTGGGAAGTTTAATTACAATGGTTTTTTTTCCTCTTGTGGCCATCACTTATGTTTAACTGCTACCTATCAATGTCACAAATTCAGGAGCGAGGAACACATAGGCTATTGCCTCACTTACCATCTGGGTCTCCATAGTAATACACATCGAGAAAAATGTGTGGTTGGCTGAAATTTGAGGAATATTTGATGGTCATAATGTTGGAAGTCAATTTGTAGACTTGACAAACTTTCCCAAGGAAATTGGACCCTGGAGTTCCATCCAGGATTTCTAGCTGCTCACTTATACAGTTGAGGCTGCCAGGGCACAGGTGAGGCAGGTATGAGTGTTTGGAATCACCCTCCCTGCTGCAGCCTCCTTCTACAATGGCTGGAAAGCAGATCACACCAGCTTTGCTTGTGTGGAGTGCAAGGTCAGCTGTGGACAAGGGAAGGAAAATCTCTCAACTCTTTGTAAAAGGAAAGTTATTCCAGGAACTTCCATCATGCATGGAGGCCTTTCCTCCATCTGAACAGTAGGTGACTTTCAGAAGAGCACAGGCAAGGAGCAGCTGAAGGGATCACTCATCCAGGAATATCAGAGTGTTAGGACTCAGCACAGAAAGGTGACTAGAGAAAAAGGTTACTCTATGCAGGAGAGATGAAGTAGTCAAAGTAGGAAGGATCTTGCAAAGTCATGTTTTAATAGAACAAAGTTTACACAGAAGGCAGGGTACTACGGAAGGGTTTACAGTAGGAAGTAATATGGAATTAGACCACCTAGAAGCCTATGGTGGAAGGGTAGAACATGAACTGGAGGGCCCAAGGTGACTCCTTCCAGAAACTACAACACTGTTGGCAAAGAAAATTCACTCCCTGAGTACTCACTTGATTTTGGGCAATTTCACAATGACTTAATATCGTGGTTTCAAAATTATGATCCAAATACAGCTGGTGTTATTCTCTGGAGGGATGCTAAAACTTCCAAAGGGATCTGTGAAGCAGCCCCGACATTTGCCAGGCTCTGCAGAAGGACAAGAATTCAGGACAGTGCAACAACGAGCTATGCCATTTGAGGGTAGACTCCTTGTTGCTCATCCTAGCTTAGAAGTTAGCTAAGAAACCCGGGCATGGTGGCCCACACCACTGGGAAGGTGGAGACTGGGAAGATCTCTTTTTAAGGCTATTCAGAGGAAAAAGTTATGGAGACCCCATCTCAACCAATAAGCTAGGAGAGGTGACACTGCCTGTCATCCCAGCTATGTAAGAAACATAAGTAGGAGTATCTCAATCTAAGCTGGTCCAGGCAAAAATGCAAGACCCTATTCCAAAAATACCTAAAAAGCAAAAAGAGTTGAGGGAGTGGCTCAAGTAGTAGAACATCTGCCTAACAACCATGAGGCCCTGAGTTCAAACTCCAGTACTGCCAAAAAAAAAAAAAAAGTTGGCTAAGAAAATGTAAAGTGGATGACCGGAGGCTGCTGTCCCACACTTGGGTAGAGTTTTCACATTCTGTATCTCTCACTGATTTTCAAGGAGCTCTAGTTACTTGTCCTACAATTTACTTTTGACCAGTGGAGAAAATACAAAATTTAACACAACGCCATCAGAATATTCTTTATCATCAACCCAACAGCCAGGCTGGTGGGCAAAAAGTTGGCACAAATGCTACACTTCTTTCTCCAAAATAGCCTTCTTTGCAAGCCAGGGAAATAGCAAATAGGTAGTCCTCATGCCCCAAGAGGAGAGGCCTGACCCCTCAGATAAATGAGAGTCCATGGCATCGGCAGACCTGTGGGAGGGGACCCACCGGCCTGCTGGTTCCTACACTGGGTTCCAACACTGGGATGACAATAGCACCTTGCCACTGAGTTCCTGTTTGTGAAGTGCCAGGCCTGTACCTGACATCTCATAAACATGAGGTCAATCAATCAACAAGCAAGTGCCTGCACACAAGGCAAACTTCCCTTCCTCTTCTAGCCCAGATCCTCAGGCTGCACTTGGCCCTCTGCTTTCAGTGCTCACATTTCTCCTCCTGAAGATGTAGCTGCCCTCAGCTCTGCAGCTTCAGGTGTTCAGAAGATGCTCTGTCCTCTTTGACACAGACTCTGTGTAGAGGGGTCTCCTTTCCCTGCCACCTGAGGCTGAGCAGATGGGGGAGGGTACAAGGGGCTTCCTGAGCCCAAAGGAGTCACAGTGGGTGAGGAAAAAGGCTGAGAAGGTTGGGTAGAGGGTGTGATTCTGGAATTGTGGAGGTTTAAGCAGAAAGCCAAAACTTAGTCCATATTCCCTTGGCCAAGAATGCATCCAGGTACCTGAGTTTTCCCAGTGAGTTTTTTTGCTATCCAACCAGAAGGCTTATGGTCCCTGGGAGAGGAGAGGGAAAGGGTGAAGCGACGTTGCCTGCATTTACCTCTTGTCATTTTTGGTGAACTGCCTTCGTCTGAAAAGACAGAAAAACAAAATGAGAAGCTGAAGTTACTTACGGCCAAGGCAGGAGATAGACAATTAACTCACTATGAAGAGGAGCTGAGTGCAAAGGGCTGGGGCTGAGCAGAGGGAGATGGCATCACTGACCCCATTCCTGTGAGTAATCTTTTACCTACAGAAGGCAGGGTAGGAAACAGGCCTGGCTCTCAGCATCCAAACACCAGCTCAATCCCTGTTTTCTCCTTCTTTCTTGACTCCACTCAAAAGACAAAGTCCCCACTCTGGAGCCACAGTGAGAAATTCCACTGTGATGAGGGTGACAAACTTGTTCCAATTTGCCCATAACTTTACCACTGAAAGTCCTCAGTCACGGATCCCCCACAGTCCTGGGCAACCCAGAGTAGCCAGCCACTCTAACACTGACCTGAACATATCGTTTTAAATTTTGCAAATACCATGTACCAATCAAAAATAAATAACTAATTCTGTGAGGAGAGCAATGATTGATTTAATGTAGAAGTAAACTGAGTAAACTTTTCACATGAGAAGAAATGATCCATTTTAACTCGTGAAGTTTCATTATTTCGGGGACTTGAGTTAGCATGTGGACATAAGAGTCCTGAGTTCAACCACACGGCATCCTACTGTTGACGTGGCACTGTGACAGTCCTCGTGACATGATGTAATGGGCATAGCCCCTGCAACAAGTGGCTCTGGGTTACAGTCCTCGTCAGTGCTAGAGCTGAATGACTTTGGACAAGTTATTTTCTCTCCGTAAGTCTCAGGTCACTGGTAAATTGGGCATATTAAGTCCAACTGCAAAGATTTCTTCTCAGGATGACATTAGTTACTATTTTAGGTTCTTTTACTACCTAGAGTTCATTAGTGCTGTATAAATGTTGGCTGCTTTTTACCGTTGTTATCTATTAAGCTATTACTTGTTTCTAGCTCCAAATTACAACCGTGGTTGACAGAGGTGACAGGACCCACCTAAAGCTACATGGCAGGTCAATGGCAGAATGGAAACCATGTACATTGTTTTTATTTTCTCTTTGCCCTGAGTTTGACTGACCTCTTTGTTAGGCTGCTCCGTCATCCTGACATGCTCCTCCATGGAACTCTTTCTAATCAATGGTCATATGCATGCTAACTAGAAGCATGCAATTAATCTCATTCGATCTCAGATGTTGTCTGGGGATATCAAAGGTCTGAAACTGTTCCCACTAAGTTTCTGCTTTTGTATGCTATGAGGACAAGGTCTCCCTGCAGGGGACTTGAATCTTAGGAAAACCAGAATGTTCAGTAGAGCTAAGATTTATTTTTCTTCTCTAAGCATATCAGTGAATTTCAGGTGATCCTTCAAGTGCTAAGTCAAAGTTTCAGCTAGAATACAGATGGAGGAAAGTGAATCTCAATGGTGTGATTTATAGAAACCAGACACCCATTCCTTCTTTGGAATGTGCTTTTCATCCAAGGGCACATTTTATAAGGTCAGCTCAGGAAGGTTCCTTGACTCTGTGTCCATCTATCTCTCTCTACATTCAGAGATGACTGCATTTCCTCAGGGTCTGCAAGCTTCCTGGCCCATGGAAGGCCTACTGCAACCAAGAATTGAGTCAAACTCTCATTGTTACCCCAGACAGACCTCACCAATCATAAAGAAAGAGCAAACCAGGCCAGCAATGGGCCCAAAATGCCTTCCAATGCTCAATCCAGAAGTTCTGGTCTAAACAGGCCCTCATACAAGTTCCTCTCTTCTAGGAAAGCTTGGAGGAAGTATTGAAGAAGGGATTAGATGAGAGTCAGAATCCAGAAGCCACACATGAAGGATTTTGCAAGGCCATACTACAGTGAGTAAATTTTACCCAGAAGATAGGGAAGCCACTGAAGGGTTTTCAGCAGAAAGTGAAAGCATGGAAGTGTGGTTAGATACCACTAGAGGTTGGGTGAAGGGCCAACAGGTAGAGGCCAAGATGGACTCCTCCCTAGGAAACTCTGGAGAGCGGATTATGGAAAGTCCATGAGAACTGGACATAAGCAAGGCAAGATGCAGCTCACCAGCATTGAAAATCACAGCCTGAGCCCTCACTTGGGGTCAGGAAATAAAAGTTGGATTCCCCATGTTCAATTCACCAGGATGGTCCAGATGCAGGAAGTTCTGTGACTGAAAGCATTGACAATCTTGCCCTGTTCACCTGTGATGAAGCCTCCATAATCACTATTCCCTACGAGCAGAAGAAGAACATGTTGGTGAGTTCCGGGGCACTCTGGGTACTTAAGGGGTTTTCCCATCTGTGGCACCTTTAAAGTTGTGGGTCTTCAACTTCCTAACTTCCCTCACAAAGAAACTCAATGTAGGTAAACTGAGTCTCATGGCCCCACAAATAATGTGGACTTTTTTGTTGAATTTTTTTGAGTCATCTGGAGTCTAACCACAATGTACTTAGTCACTGTGTGAAGAGACAGAATGGGTGAGATAGTATTGTGTCCATTTTCCTTGTATCCTTTCAGGTGAACTGATTAGCTCTGAGTAGATGGGTGGACAGAAAAGCAAAATTAAAAAGCTGAAGTTGCTGACAGTTCAAGGCAGGATGGACAAGGAGCTCACTGTGGAAAGGAAAGGGCTGGGACTGAGCAGAGAGAGGAGGTGGCATCACTGTCCCCATCCCTGTGAGCAATCATGGGCCCACAGAAGACAGAGTGGGAAGAGGCCCTGCTCTCAGCATCCAAACATGAGCTCACTCCCTGCTTTGTCCTTCTTTCTCTGATACCTCTTAAAGTGCAATGTCCCCACACTAGAACCACAGTCAGAAAAGTCAGTGCTGATGATGGTGGCCAATGTGTCCTGGATTGACTGGGACTTTTGCACTTTTGGCACTGATACTCTCTTGTCCCAGTCCTGGTCAAGCTGGACAGTCACCTTAACTCTGATCTGACCATTTCTTATTGTACATTCTGAAATGACACAAATGATAAACTTGATGTTGGGACAACCTGACTGAACAAAATTTCCTTGTAAGGAGTAATCAATCATTTAATTTATGGGAGTTTCATCATTTCAGGAAGCTGAGCCAGGTACGTGGGTCTAACAGACCTGAATGCAATCATGTGACATCCTTCTGTTCACATGGTACCATGACGTGTCCTCAGGATGTGCACATTTCAGGGCATGAGAACAGAAATCTACAGACCTCAATGACCTCCCAGCTGTGTGCTTCTGAACAAGCCATTTACCCTCTCTAAGCCTCAAGTTTCCTGAGTGTAAAAATGGAAGATCCAAGATGAAATTTGATAACTCTCCAGAGTTTTGAAAGGAGTGCAGAATAAATGTCAACTGGCTATTACTATGATATGTATTTGTTACTTTGTAGACAAAAAAAAAGTGAAATGACTTATCTATGGCCATGTGGCAGATAGGTAGCAATACAGAGACTAGAACACTTGTCACTGTCCTCTGCCTAGCTACTTGTGGTCAGTTTTGACTGAATTCTTCTAACCAAACAGCTGGGATCAATACATCCATAACATAGTAGGACATGCATCTCGTCAGCAGAGGGGGCCTCTGGGTCACACCCTCTCTCAGTCATAATCTGATAGAACACTGGCTCAACTTTATGCCAACAGTCCCATAAAGAGCCACATGCACATGTCACAAATTCAGGACAGAAGAACAAAACAGGGTATTGTCCCCCTTCCGGATCTACAGAGTAATGTCCATCAAAGAAACCAGAGAAGTTGCTAGATTTTGTAATGTACTTGATAGTCATGAAGTTGGATGATGATACATAGACCATGGAGAAGCCTTGACAAACATTCCCAAGGGATTTGGACCTCAGAGGACCATCCAGGATTTCCATCTCTTCGCTTGCATGGGTGAGGCCATTGGAGCAGAGATAAAGGCATTCAGAAGTGTCTGGAATCACCCTCCCTCCAACCAACAGACACTGGAAACTGTTCCCCATGATGTTTCATATGAAGGCCAAGGGTGGACAAGGAATAGTCTCTCCCATGCTGTCCACTCCCAGGAGGAAATTCAGAGCCACCTGGCTGCACTGCCTCCCAGGTCCTCCAGGGAGCCCTGCCTGTGGCTCTGAGAGTCCAACATAGGAGTTTTAATCTTAGGGACCAGACTATTTCAGGCCTCCCAAGAACATCATAATACATCCAATATGGGCCCAATATCTCCTTGGGCCACACAGTGGTGTCAGGCTGAGAGGCCCAGGCATGAGTATATGGGTGCTACTCCCTGGTGTCTGCCACCTTCACCCCAGAAGTGTGGGACAGGAAGTGAGTCAGTACATCTTAGAAGCCCAAGTTTGACCTACCTGACTCAGGGAAGAAGGGAGAAGTGCATTAATCTCTCTCTATCTTAAGATGTTTAGCATGGATGCAACACTCCAAGGAGGTCTCCTCACTCCTCTCCCACCTCTACTCTTCAACCTGACCTCCTGCTTCTCCTCCTCACTTAGCTCCCAGCACATCTCACACTCACTGGAGAAGGCCTGAGTTTCTCTGGGCTATAACAAAGCATCTCAAGGGAACATCTCACCAAGACATACTCACACATCCCCTCTTTAGAACAGTTTTGCTCTTGGCACAGCCTGAGCCCTACCTTAGAGACAAGGATAGTCAGATCCAAATACCTCCAAAATGGATAAAAGACCATTACACAGAAATTTTACAGAAGTCTCTCCCTCTGACTACTGAATAAAGTGGTAATGCAGCTAATTTCTATTGACTGCATCCCTGTTGCCCTCCTTAGCCTCCTCATCTCCTCGCCCATCTTTATAGCATCCCAGACACTCTCCCTTTTCTTAAAACCCTGGGGCATGCTTTGGATAGATGGTCTAATCCCTGAAGTCTGTGAGGTAACTTAGTGGAAGTATACACTTAGCATGTCAGAAGGAGTCAGGATTCCTTAATCACACCGATTCCATCATTTCTCTCTTCCCCTGTGGACTGTGTTTGGTTTGTCTTGGAATTGATGGAAATGTGGCTCCCTTGTAAAAAAAATCTTTGAAGACTGCCCTGGGGTGGACAAGTAGTAGATTATTGCCCAATTGCTAATGCTGTCTGCACTCTTAACTTTTCATTCATTCATTCATTTATTTTGGTAAAACAACTTAGACCCAATGTTGGAGTTTCCATGGTAGACCCAACAAATAAGCAAGTGATACTGTGTGCTTAAGACCACAAGTAGATGGGGCAACTCATGGGGCAAAAAAAGAGAGAGAGATTGTCTGTCCATCTGAGGACGTCAGGAAGATGTCCTAGAAGCGTTGGTTGTCCAGGATCATGAGATACTAACAGAGGACCTAGCAGAGGGCAGTGCATTTGGCAGTGGTGGAAGGATTCGTGCCTGGCATGGTATGATGTAGCAAAGGCAATGTGTCTAGAAAATCTGTGTGTTTTGGCTCATGAACAGAGAGGGGCCTAAGCTGAGCAGTGGTTAGAAAGCTGGAGAGATCAAGGGTCAGTACCAAGAAGGATTTTGCAAAGCTGAATGAGTACAATGAACCTTATGCAGAAGGCAGAGGGTCAACGAGGATTTTCAGCAGGGAGTGAAAGTAGAGTCAGATTGTGGTTAATTTTCTTGTGCATGGTAAGTGGGAAGAGGCCAAAATGGGCTCCTTCGTGAGGTTACCTTGAAGAAAACTCGCACTCACTTGACAATCGAAAATGCCATAATGACCAGCTGAGGTGGTGGCAACATGACAGTCCTGATACAGGTAGTGTTTTTACCAGGAGGGGTGTTCAAGTATCCTGAAAGTTCTGTGAAAAGGCCCCCACATTGCTCAGGTTCTACAAACAGAAGAAAAGGAAACAAATTCTTCAGAGCTCTGGACTCATGAGGACCTGGACCATTCCATGGTCCCACATCATCAGTCTTCCCAACTTAGCACGTGACAAGCAAAATGCAACGTGGATGACCCACCAGCAAGCTGGCTTGCTTTGTTTTATTTCTGTCTAAGATTCTTAGGGTAGTTATA